CAAGTATTCGCTCAATATACTTCTCTTGAGATAGCCATAACTTACCGTTCTCTCGGTCTCGAGTAATCTCCATCCCAAGAATCTGTTGAGCCTTTCCTAAATCTTCCATATGAAAAGACTTAGAAAGTTCTTTCTTCAGCTGACTTATGTTCTCTGCATCATTTCCAACGATCACCATGTCGTCGACGTATAGTAGAAGAACTATGAAAGCTCCGTTTGAGTATCTCTTGATATAAACACACTCATCTGCAGTAGTCTTCTTGTAACCTTGACTCTTCATGCATGAGTCAAACTTCTTATTCCACTGCCTTGGTGCTTGCTTCAGGCCATACAAGCTTTTAGATAGCTTGCACACGAGGTTCTCACTTGAAACCTCAAAACCTTTTGGCTGCTGCATATAGATTTCTTCATTCAAATCTCCGTAAAGAAAAGCTGTCTTCACATCTATCTATTCAAGCTCCAAATTCATACTTGCTGCCAAGCCAAGTATGACTCGAATTGAGGTCATCTTGACAACTGGTGCAAAGATCTCGTCAAAATCAATCCCTTTCTTCTGTTGTTAGCCTTTGACAACTAATCGAGCTTTGTGTTTCACCACTTGTCAATTTGCATCTTTCTTCAGCTTGAACACCCATTTGTTTTTCAAAGCCTTTTTCCCTTCTGGAAGTTTAACTATCTCATAAGTTTGATTTTTCTGCAGAGAATCTAACTCTTCCTGCATCGCAACCATCCATTTTTTTTTATCCTTATGAGATACGGCTTCTTGAAAACTCTCTGGTTCTCCATCTTCTGTCAATAGAAGGTATTCAGATGATGAGTACCTTTTTGATGGTATATGACCCCGTTCAGATCTACGAGTGGGTAGAACCATCTGAGAAGAACTTTCAACATTGGTGTCTGGCAAAATGGGTTGTGGCTCCCCTTGCTCTGACGAGGTGGGTTGTTGCTCCCCTTGCTCTGCACTCTCTTCTGTCTCCTCATCTTCTTCTGGTACATCATCTTCATTGTTTCTCTAGAACAATTCTGGTGTTTCATCTGAAACTTGAGCACCCACATTTGACTTCTGAGACATCTTGTGCTTTTCGATATCTTCTATTGTCAAATTTTCTTGGAACACAACGTCCCTACTTCTGATCACCTTTTTCTCCTTTGGATCCCAAAATCTGTATCCAAACTCATCATCTCCATAACCAATGAAAATGCATGGGATGGACCTCGCATCGAGCTTCTTCCTGAGCTCATTGGATACATGTGCATATGCTACACAACCAAATACTCTGAGATGTGAGTATGTCGGATCCTTACCAGTCCATATTCTTTCTGGAACATCAAAATTTAATGGAACTGAAGGTGATCGGTTGATCAGATAACATGCAGTTTTGACAGCTTCTCCCCAAAATGGCTTTGGTAATTTAGTCATATTCATCATGCTTCGAACACGCTCCATGATAGTCCGATTCATTATTTCAACAACACCGTTGTGCTTAGGGGTACGTGGTACTGACTTCTCATGTCGAATGCCATATGTTCTGCAATATGCATCGAACTCCTTGAAAGTATACTCGCCTCCATTATCAGATCGGAGACATTTCAGTTTCTTTCATGTTTCACGTTCCACCATGACGTGAAATTCCTTGAAGTACTCAAACACATGGTCCTTCGTATTCAGGAAATATACCCACACCTTTCGAGAAGCATCATCAATGAAAGTCAAAAAATATCTGCTTCCACCCAGTGATTCAACCTCCATGGGACCGCAAACACTTTGTTGAACTTGTATTGAATGAGACTCTATGCTGCTTGCCGAACAGACAATGACTGCAAGAACCCATCGCCGCACTCTTATCAACCTTGATAAGATCCTTCTTCATCAGTGTAGTCAGCCCATTCTCACTCATATGGCCGAGTCTCTGGTGCAATAGATCCTGGGAAACCTCCTCTGCAACATTGAGACTTTCTGTACTGATCTTCAAATGTGTTTTGTACAGCGTCCCACAAACATGTCCTCGGGCAATTTTCAGAACACCCTTTGACAACTTCCATGTGCCTGCGCCGAAATGATTTTCATATCCTTCTTTGTCAAGAGCCATCACTGACAAAAGATTCAGCCTAAGATCTGGCACATGTTTGACATCCTTCAACAAGATTGTACTCTCGGTTCCTGTCGTTGTATGGATATCACCAATTCCGGCAATTTGAGAGGAGCTGGAATTTTCCGTCTTCACCGATCCAAAGTCTCTAGCTTGGTATGTTGTGAAGTATTTCATGTTGGGAGTAACGTGATAGGATGCTGCAGTATCTACAACCCATTCCATGTCTTCTCTTGAGACATGAAGACATGTCTCACCATAGTTCGAGCAATATGCTACATCACCTGAGACAGTGATAAGAGTTTCACCACTCTTGCCCTTGTTCTTCTGCTGAGAACTATTCTTCGGCTGAGAATTGCTCTTGTCCTTCTCCTCGAGCCATTTATAGCAATTCTTCTTCATATGACCTTCTAGACCACAATGATAACACACATGTGATCTCTGATCATCTGATTGCCTCCCCTTGCTTCTACCCCTGCTCTTTCCTCTACCGCTTCTTTGTTGCTTGCCTTGTGGTGTTCCTCGATTCTCCATCACAAGGGCATGGGTCTGATCTGTGCCCATGTCTTTTCTTCTTGCCTCTTCATTGAATAAGGCATCATTCACAACGGACATGGAAAGTTTGCCGTTTGAGGCTGAATTGCTGAGAGTAACAACGAGTGTTTCCCAGCTATCAGGAAGGGAACTAAGAAGTAGTAGGGATTGCATTTCATCTCCAAGCGGCATCTCCACACAAGATAGTTGATTTACCAGGCTCTGGAACTCACTGGTATGCTCGGCAACAGAAGTTCCACTTTTCAACTTCATATTGACTAAGCGCCTCATCAATAAGGCCTTATTCCGAGCGGTCTTGGCTTGGTACATATCCTCCAGCTTCCTCCAAAGGACATATGCGTCGGTTTCTTGTGCAACATGATGGAAGACATTATGATCAATCCATTGTCGGATTTGACCAATAGTTTTTCTATTGATTTTCTTCCATTCTAACGCCTTGGACGGATCAGGGTTAATACCCTTCAGCTCTATTGGATCAAAGAGCTCTTGACAGCTGAGGAAATCTTCCATCCGAGGTTTCTACAGCGTATAGTTGGTAGCCTTGAGCATAATCATAGCTCCAGAAGATGAAGTTGACTCTTCCATGGCCATTTTATACCTTCAACGATCTGTTTGGGACAAATCGGAGCTGAATTTTAAAAAATAGACAGCACCGTTGTGTCCGAAACAACCAAAAATGACGGGAGAGTTTTTTTTTTGCGATGACGTGGCAGTCAACTGATGACGTGACGGTTGACTGGGCTCCACCTGCTGACGT